GTGACGATTCCCCTCCTGCGTGGTCTCTTCGTGACGATTCCCCTCCTGCGTGGCCTGTTCGTGACGATTCCCCTCCTGCGTGGTCTCTTCGTGACGATTCCCCTCCTGCGTGGCCTGTTCGTGACGATTCCCCTCCTGCGTGGTCTCTTCGTGACGATTCCCCTCCTGCGTGGCCTGTTCGTGACGATTCCCCTCCTGCGTGTTCTCTTCGTGACGATGCCCTTCCTGCGTGGTCTGTTCGTGACGATTCCCCTCCTGCGTGGTGTCTTTGTGACGATTCCCCTTCTACTTCCTCATGGTTCTTCTTCCTCATGTCCCTACCGCCGTCCTCTTTATCCATTCCTGTCACTTCCTGTAATTTAGACCTGTGTCTTAGACCTGTGTCTTCTCTGCTTCTACATTATTAATCCTTCCCTCCCCCCCTCCCTCCCTCCCCCCCCATCCGATGGCACACTTACACTCTTTGTTTTTACACTTTCCTCCCTCTTTCATGTTTCCCCTGCCTTCTATCTCCTCTCGCCGGTGTGTTTTTCCTTCTGAACGTAGCTGCGGACACAGATGATGTTGCTCTTGATTTGTGAATATCCTGTCTGTTTTTCCGACGGTTCTCCAAAATAAGCTAAAGAACAACAATATTAACCTTTGATGATCGAAAATCAGTATTTGTTTTTGTTCGGAGATTGTACCTGTCATGTTTCATAGTTCTTACCAGCTGCTCTAGATTTTAGTCTGTATGAGTGCATTCCATAAGCGTTTTTTGATCTTGATTTTCGAGCCTCTTTTCGAACCCGTCTTTTTCCCTTAGACATGCAGGTGACGTTGACCCCGCTTCCAACAGTAACGCTAAGAGTGTGAAGGTCTGCTCACTTTCCTGGTGCTTCTGACAGCCTCCTGGCCTAAGGGTTTCGACATGTGAGGCGTGTGGACAGTTTTGAGTAGATGTTCTGACCACTTATCTATTCATGGGCGTCGTACCACAGGCAGCACGGGCCAAAGCAGAGGAGAACAGGAGTCCATGGCAGGGTGCACACACAGTCGAACGCCATGGGCAGCTGAGAAATGCCAGCTCACCCAACTAGATGGTTCTGAGCTTTGGGAGCAAACCTGATTACTGGGGGTAACTCTCACAAACTCAGGGAGAATGTGCAAACCCCAAGGGGGAAAGGCCATGGCCCTCTGAACCATGTGGTGCTAGAAGAACATCCAGTGGATGGTATTTAACTGATAGGGACACTACAAATCGGAAGGTTTTCTCAGGATCAGCTTGGGATTGCAGACTTCCTATCCAATTAGCTGCAGGACTGCAAGATATTAGCCTGCATCACCAATGGCAAAAACACTCAATGCTCAAAAAAAAACTTACAGCCTCTGTATGGGATTTTTGCTTAGGTTTAGCTGAACAAGCAAGATATGAACTTCTCCATGCAGAATGGGGGCACACGTGAATGTGTGTGTGTGTGTGTGTGAGTGAGTGTGTGTGTGTGTATGACAGAGAGAGAGAGAGAGAGAGAGAGTGCTGTGACGTTGGTCCCATGAGATACCTCTCTCTTCCAGCAGTGTCGTGGGTTAGACAGTGTGCCATAGTCATCAATGTTCTGCTTTTAGGTGTCTGGTCTCCATCGAGGGGAGTATTGGCTCCGAGGGGGGGGGGGGGGGGGGTTAGGAATCTATACCAATCAGACATTCCTTAATGAAGATGGAGAAAGCCAATGGCTGCCCCTCCCAACTCGGGATAGTGTAAAAAAAATCAATTCTGACTGTCTTCAGTGTGAAGAGCTTCCATATTGAACATGGTGTGTTAGATGATTCCCTTGCCTTTTCTGGTTGCCTGTGGCAGAGTGGTGGTGGTGGGGGGGGGGGGGGTGGCGAAGACCCCCTCCCCATGCTGTCCTTGTCCTTGACAGGCTGGGATATGCTCCATCCCCCTACCCTCAGGCAGTAAGGTTACTCAGCAGCAGAGCAGGCTATTAGTATGGACAATTTACACATTTCTGCTTTTTATCTTTTATACTTTTATTTACTGTTTTATTTATTTATCTATATTTTTATTCTTATTGCTATTACCCACTACAGACAGCTCTCATTTCATTGCCTGCATCTGCTGCTGTTCGCTGTACTGTTGTGCATTTGATAAATAAACTTTGATTTGATGTGATTTGATATGATGTGATGAGATGTGATCCTCACAGCTGCAGCTTACTCAGCCGGGACCGGGGAAACAGGCCCAGGGGTGGGGGCAGAGCACAGCCACGCTGCAGGCTCGTTTACGGTTCAGGGTCGGGATCCGGTCCGTTTCAATACTTAGTAATGCTGTTCGGGTTCAACAGCAACTCCTGCTGCAACAATCCAGCTCTTTAATTACAGGCTTTCCCATAATTGTTCGCAATTGCATATTATCAGTGCTCCGGTTATTAATGCCACAAATGATAAAATAGAATTTTAAATGCAACGGAATGCCAATCAATAAATAATGCATTTTATACATCGTCTTGCTAGGGAAGAACTCAAGGAGGCTGATATTTCGGCCTAGATCCAATTGTGAGATAATTCGACTTCCCCTTGCAGTAGAAAATGCCCCTTTCATCCTGACATTTAGCGGGAACCGTTTCAAAATGAACCTTCTCCCTGTGGTGCCACCCCACTGTCCACCTGCGCACACCATCCCGTTTCGGAGCTCATACCAGAGGTGTTGGCTAGCCGATCGAGCCTCAGCGGGGCAGACGGGACACTACAGAGAAGTATGATTTGTTAGCCTCACGTACAATTACCGCGTTAACGTTTACGGGCAGCCACGTTTACGTTATTCTTATCTTCCTCTCTACACCGTTGTAAATCGGTGCTATAACCCTGTTAATTAATACATTGATATTAATGGTTACGCTAGTGGAACTGATGGTGCGTAATGCAAGATAAGACATCAAAAAATAAGTGGCTCTCTTCCGTATAATGTGATCCAATTGGCTATTGTGAGTCTTTCTCGGGATAGGCTGGCTTAGAGGCCTACAGATAAGAGCTTTTTTTATTTCTGACCCTCCACATTTTTCTGCTGCTTTGACTATTATGGGATGCCAGAATTAAATGCTTTCATCTTGTTCCCGTTGGATCATGGCCATTGAGGTGGCACAGTAGGTTGCTCCATCCTCACACCAGCTACCTGTGGACCCAATTTGCACCCACTGTTCTGTGAGTAGGGGGGGAGTCTCCCAGTGTTTCTGTGAGTGGGGGGGAGTCTCCCAGTGTTTCTGTGAGTGGGGGGGGAGTCTCCCAGTGTTTCTGTGAGTGGGGGGGGAGTCTCCCAGTGTTTCTGTGAGTGGGGGGGGAGTCTCCCAGTGTTTCTGTGAGTGGGGGGGGAGTCTCCCAGTGTTTCTATGAGGTCCCCCTGGGTACTCCGGAATCTTCCCACTACCCAGAAACATGGTTTAGGTGAATTGTTACGTATGCATGTGTGTTCAGATATTCATTACATTGCGGGGACCAAATATCCCCACGATGTGTTAAAAACCTGTTATTTTTACATTGTGGGGATCATTTTTTGATCTTGACAAGGGGAAGCTGGATTTTATAAGAATCTGTGACTAATCAAAAAACTAAAAATGCCCATAGTCTTGTATTTTGTTTGGTGACTTATGGCTAAGGTTAGGGCTGAGTAGGGGTGTCATTGTTGGGAGTAGGGCTATGCCCATAGTAATGAATGGACGGTCCCCATAAAGATATGAGTGTGTGTGTGTGTGTATGTGTGTGTCTGTGTGTGTGCGTGCTCTGAGATGGAGTGGCTTCCCATCCAGGGCTTCCAATACCCTATGGCTCTAGAGACAGACCCCAGGCTCCCCTCACCCCTGTGTCACATAAGTGCTTATGCCAAATGGATGGGTTATGGGCCTAACATTCTTTTTATATGCTGTAGCTTTATTGTCCTGGTCTGGCGAAAACATCCATTTGACCAGCGAGAATTACCAGCGCATTCCATGTGGTGATTTGAGCAGAGCGATGCTTTATCACGGCCAGTCCATTTCTACCATGGCGGTGATGGATCACGTCCTGGGAACAAATTGCAGTAATTTTGGGGTTCAGAAACACATTAAATGTGATTCAGAAAAGACGTGGTTTGGGCAATTTTGCCATT